ATTGCTTCAAGTCCATCAGTTGTTTTGCATTGGTCAGTGTGCTGTGCAGTGCACTTCTAGGGACAATTTGTACCCCATATTTTGCTGCAGAGTGAACACTCTTGACTTTCATGCTTCTCTTTGGCACAGACAGCTGCAGACATGCAGCAGCACCGAGGAGGAGAAACCTTCCACTGTAAGGCTCCAAGATAACATTATATTCTCTCTTCTGCTTGGAAGTGGTGAATTTACAGCTCACAGATACTTCATACGACAGTCTCTGGCTTTTGTTTGATATCTAGTGTCGGCAAAAAATCTTGCTGTACATTTCCCGCTGTTAGCTTGTTTACTATGTGAATGCCGCTGTCACACTGAACGTCCAGCTGAGTCCTGTTCAAACTTTAAATGGAAAAAAAAATAATGGTTGAATACTCGTTTTAAACCGTCAAATCAGATTTGACTGACATAATTCTGTGTCGGTTACAGCCCTAGTTGCTAATGCTTATTGGTGTTGTTTATTAAATAGCGATGATGTGAAGGTGATGAAGGAGACTGCCGCTGACACCGTCTTGCTTGTATATAGGAAAGGTTTATTACAAGAAGTACAGCATCAAATCAAGCGCCTAGGATGCCTGAGAGAGGGTTCGAAGCCAATATGAACTGCTCTGAATATCAGCTCCAAATACTCTGCCTATATAGGGTGGTTGTTTTTGTGAACTTTAAGACAAAATGTGACAGGTGACAGAGAGACAGTCTAGATGGAATCCAACCTTTCAACCTAGCTTATCTATCCTTGACCTAGGCCATAATAAAGTCTCGACCTGGGCCCCTAACTGATCATAACAAACCCTGTCATCACATAACATGGCACGTCAGATACTACATACTAAATGTTATCCTGCTAGCATATGAAACCAAGATGGGGAATATGGTAGAGATTATGCTGCGTTCCATTAACCATGAAAGTTGGAGCTGGGAATGACATCACATGCAATTCAATTCAGTTCAATTCAAAGTTGACTGCGTTCTAGTACAACAAAATGGAAAACCTAGATGTTTGCAATACCAGTTCCAGTTATCTTAGCCATTGTTAGCAATGCTTGTTGATTAAAATGGCATTACGCTGTTTTTTTGTCGCAGCAACATGTCCACAGACAGTACTGTGTGTACAATGTATTTAATGAGACACAAATAAGATAGACATGCTAATAAACAGTACTGCTCTTGATGTGCTGAGCGGTCATCTTGGATTTTGAGGTCAGGTTTGGTGAGGTCCCTCCGACTTTCTGAGTCAGAAGTGCGAATTCAGGCAACGTTCCAGTTGTAATTTTCAACTGGGAACTCAGAAATTCCAATTTTCCAGTGCAAAAGGAGCACACTATAAACCAAGATGGTGAACATGGTAAAGATTAAACATTAGCATGCTAGCATGGTCATCGTAACCATGTTAGCATACTGACAGCCTTACAGAGTCATTAGCAAGACTGTAAACGTAGTTTTGTTTCATAATATTTCTCTTGGAATAAAGTAAAATATGGCAGTTATACTCTGAGCCAGTCCAAGTCCACCTTCACCTCAGACCTTGACCAAAATGCAGTTAAGCTACTTGCAAATATTTTCTATTTCATCATTCTGTCCTATGTTTGCTGTTCAATATATTATTCCATAAGATGCTGATGTGTTTAGTTTACAGCAAATTAAAATATAAAGTAGTCTTGTGCAAATACACACACACACACACACTTTGGTCGTGTTCATATTGCATAGTCTAAATCTATAAATTCATTTAACTTCATTTGTTTTTACTCTCTCACTTAGCTTGCTTTGCAATTAATTCTTGGCCACGGTCCAGTCTGGTCTCATCTTCTCTCATCCCTGCACTCTCTCATCTCTTATCTCTGTATCACTTACTTTTATCTGATTTCATCCCCCTCTGCCATCGTTCAATTTCCTCCAGCAATCTGCATCATGGAGAGGGGTGGGGGGTTGTCTAAATTAGCAGATCAATAGGCCATCAAACAGTCTTTAAGTGTGACACATACACAGACCTTGTGTCTCAGGTTCCCCCCTCTAACTAATAGCCTTGTTGTTTACTTTACAATGTGCTGTGTCATGTAGTTTTAGTCTCAGGTTGCCCTCCAGTGCACTGGGACACCCCGGGGGAATCCTTGGACAAGGCTGATGCTGGAGACACATTTTCTTCCTGAATGTGTCTTGTTTTATCAGAATGAGCAAGATTGTTGAGGTATTGTTGAACTGAGAGCTGTGGTTGATAAGAGTCCTCACCAAAATGAGTTTGTTTTTTCACCGTCTGACAGATTCATACAGTAGGCCTACATCACTGGCCTATAGAGCCTAAAACAGAGCATCGATAGTGTGAAATCTTTTGGTGACAGTCTATCTGTGCTTACATGTCACAGAAGCATTTTGGAACAGTCTCTCCCATCGTCTTGGGCGATGACCTTTGTCAGATGACTGGGAGAGGTCAACAGAGGTTAAAGTAACAAGTGAGCTGAGAGAGGGGCCCCGTTCTAGTCATGCAGAAAAGAGCTGCCAGAGAGTTTTACACACACGCACAGTCACTCTCCAACCAACAGGAACAGGACTTCCTTGCTCCTGATCAGCCAGACCGCAGCTATAGAGAGGCGAGGACCCATGCAGAAATACAAACATAATCGTAGTTTTTCCAACACAAACACACACTCATCAACTGGTTCTGACCAATCTCTCCTCCCTCTCTCCCTCTCTTTGTTACACACTCTCCTCCCTCGGTCCTTCTCATTCAGTCACAATCGCACACAGCCAGGCTTCAGTGCACAGACTGCGGTGATGAGCTATGACAAGGCAAGAGGCAGGAGGCAAGTACAGTAAGAATGGGAGAGGAGTGACAAAATGAAAAGAGCACAGTGGTAGAAACGATTAGCACTTCTTATAACAAGCACTGAGATTAGTTAGCGCATTTATGTCTGACATCAGTAGGTCATTCATAATAAATAAAACTTTATATATTAAAAATCCTTTTACCTCAGTATGTGCAGTCCCAAGATCCCGCCCGAATGCTTTTTAAGATCGCATGATCTCCAGTTTATGTCTCCATTAAATACGACTTCAATGTTATTAACATAGCATTTGGCCACACCTCGCATCTTGACAGTCTGCCATCATGTCTGAGCGGGTAGCCGCCAGGGATTGTGGGTACTGAGCAGTGGTGTGACTCTCTCTAGCAGCTCTGAAACACGAGACAGCCTGCTGGACATAACAGGCCTCTCTTCTTTGGTGAATAGACGCACAAACACTCAGTGTGTGTCTCTGAACCACACACATAATGATGCATGCAGATGCCTTGGAGATTTCTTTATTATTTGGTGCAGTCGATCGATAATGAACAAAGAGTGCCCTGATTTTTTTTTTTACACTACAAATATGAACATACTGGATGCTTTTAAAGTTTTCATTTTCTGCTTAGTGTGATTTTGTGAAGGTTACGTGTCGTGGCAAAGTGAAGTGGGGGTCAAAGGGCAGCGCTGATAAGGTCAACTGACTTTCAACTCGGTCAATGCAGGAAGTGGATTTTCACTAATGAAAAAAACAGTGGTTCATATCTCCAGCCACTGTAAATTCATGGATAGCTTTAGTTTAGATTTTGGTTTGGTCTAGTTTAGTTCTGCTTTTGTCCAAATCACAGCTTGTAAAATTTGTGGGATCAAGGGGGTGAGGGGAAACCCGGTTTCCTTCAGGGTTCAATAAAATACTAGATTTTAATGTTTGGTCAGAGAGTCATGAGGTTCCAAACATCACAGCTTTACACTGAGAAGCTTTTCAGACTGCCATCGTCATTTGAGATATTTCAAAGGTCAGTATCATAAGTCTTTTTAAATAATAATCACAAGAACTCAGGAGTTTGGTAAAGAAACAAAGTCCAAAATATCTGGTGTAATTCTTAGTCATTTTCAAATATGTTTTTACTTTTCAAGAAAAGTAAAATTTGATTAACTCACGTCATGCTATTTGGTATACCATAATGTAGTTCACCTCCGAAATCTGCAGGTTATATCACCAGTAACAAAACTTAAATTTGCTTTTTACATTTTTTACTTTGACTTTCCATATTGTTAGTTGAATACAGTGTTGATACTGAACTCTTCTCCGTTGTCGTTGGCCATATTATAAAGAGTTACACATTCCACAAAGTAGATGATATAAAAACTAAGACATGTTATCACAGAAACAAACAAACAAACAAAAAAATCCAAAGTCAATAACCCAGTTTCTTTCTAGGGATTACTGTGGTGCATTAATTCACTCTGCCGTCTGAGGTTCATATCCAAAGCCCAAACCCAAATCTTTAGTAATTCACCCGACTTGAAGCTAGTCCATAAGGAATGAGCCTTGGCTTGGTTTCACAGGAGCGGGAGCACAGCTTTCCATTGTGTACACTTTGAATTATGCTGAGGCTGCTGGTAAATCGGTCTGTGGCTGTGGTACGACAGCAGAGTGGCCTCCGCTGTGAGGATCTAGACGCTGTCGCACACAGAAACTTAGGCAGGGACGAGCCTCACCTCCTGTCTGCATCTGTCCACCACTTCCTGCATGGATCACTATTTTACCCAAAATGTTTTAGTTTATCAACAAGGAACAAAAGTAGTTGCTCACATTACTTACAATGTTGTATAGTTTGTATAAATATGCCAGGTATATCCTGAAGCTTTCACACAGACATTTACAAGGGGATCAGTCTCATCAACTGTCTGTCCACCACTTCCAGCATCCAAGAAACCTGTCTGTCATATTGATTGACATGTAGAGAGTCTCATATTGCCAATCTGGTATATCATTTATGTAGTTTATACCCTAAATATGCCAGTTATATGACCAGTTGGAAATACATGTTTTGATTTTGATATTGATGTTCACTGTTTTGTACATTTTACCCACACTTACTGACATTATTACAGTTTAGATAGTCGTGTTGCTTCTACTTTTAATATCAAGCTGTTCGTTATGGATTTGATGATAATTCTGAATTTATGCATGTTTTGCATAATGTGTACCAACTTAAAACACACAATATGCAGTGGTTTAAACATGCTGAGGTGGAGTTTTTGCTGGAAACAAGACAAGAACGTGTGACCACAAGCAATTTAGGGCCTACTTGATTAGCAAGCATTGTGTCTTATGTATGTTTATATTAAGGGGCCTTCAACTGGCACCAAGTGTTTACGTTTTTGCTTTGATTTAATATTTTGCAACTTTTTGCACGGTAGATATTCAATGTGTTCAATCAGTAAGTTTTCTCATAAAGTGTTTTACCAATATGATCTATGTGGCACTTTATGCTAGAATTACAAAGGTACAGTTAAAACCACAGTTTAATACACTAACTGAGCACATTTTAACCTCCTTAAATTCAATTCCATGTTTTGGTAAACCTGAAACACAAAAAATTCAGTTCAAAATAGTAAATCAATTCTGTAAAAGTATTTCTTGAATGAAGATGTTTTAATTGCAGTTTCAGTAAATGGTGTAATGAGCCTATAGGCAAATGTGGAATAAAGTAAGAATAGTAGGATACTCAAGAAAAAAAAATAGACATGCGTGAAACATAGAATAAAATGTTAATTACATTCATTTAAATACATAGATAATTTCAGTAATTCAAAATTCATTATGATACAGGAAATGCATGCAAATAGCTAGGCTATAGTAATTTCTTTGGTGGCGTAGGCTGCTGGAAATGCTGTTGTCGATAACAATAATGATGGTAATAATAATTAGAATAATAATGCCATGTCATGTAAACAATAAAATGTTGGGATTTATACTGTTTAGGCCTCCCTCGGGCTATCATTAGCTTAGCCTGCTATTTCCTAAAAACGGCTATGTGTTGCTTTATCATGTTTATTGTTGGGCCTATACAAAACCCACAGCTTTGACAGAAAAATAAATAATACCGAATCATCTTATTTTGAAGTGATATGTAGGCTACTCCTCTGCCGTTTTACTTGGAGTGTTCATAAACAGTAAGGCCGCAGGTCCGGCCCACCATCTAAACACCGTAAATGCTTGAAAACTTGGCAACAGACCACCAAAAAGTGTCTCTTTCACGTGGGGAATTAATATCACCATCATACGTCCCCGTCATACAGGCTGAAGTACTTGCTGGCGTTTGAGAAGCAGAGGTAAGGCGTGCTACTCCCCGGGTATACAACGGGCAGAGGCATGGGCAGCAGGCATCTCCCCAGCAGGTTGCTCTCTTTGTACAAGGCCGGGAGCTGCCCCACCACCACGGGCTTTCCAGTCTCGGGGAAATCGTTAACAGGTCCGTCGATTTCGGTCGATATTTGCCGTTTCAATTTATTCCTGCGGTTCTGAAACCATATTTTCACCTGGGTCTCCGTAAGCTGGAGGGAACTGGCGAGGCAGGCGCGCTCTGCGCTGCTCAGATAGCGTTTCATGTCGAAGGTAGACTCCAACTGGAAAATCTGTCTCTTGGAAAAAATAGTGCGCGTTTTCTTTTTCGTTATTATTTTGCTCTTCTTGGCAGGGTTGCCTCCTTTGTGGGTGTCCGTGGCCGTGGTAGTGGAGCTGCTGTCGTCGCAGCTGCTGTCCCCGCTTTCGAAGCGCACCTCCCTCGCCTTCTTCGGGTCTCCGCGGCTGATGATGACAGATTCCGTTGCTCCGTTGCAGTCTGTGATCAACTCTGCGAACAAAATGACACTTCGTTCAACCCGCTGTGGTTAAGTCACAAATGTGCTGCTAGATTAACCTGAAAGTGTAAGCTCATCTGCTGAGTGCCGTGCGTAATGGTGAACACTGATGACAGAAGGTTTCTGTCCACACCAACTTCAAATTTACCAAAGCCCTCTTACCTCTCTCGTTGAGCCTGCTGCCCGGGTCCTGTCGCTGCTGGACTACGTGCTCCTCGTGGTGGCTCTGGAAACCGTCTTTACGCATCGCCGTGGCCGAGTCATCCTGCAGTCCGGCGGGGTGACAACTGTCACAGTTCCTCCCGCTTGTCTTGAGATTGAGGATGTTGTCAATAGTGAATTTCAGAGAGGCGGCGGGTCGACATGGTGCGTCCACTTTGTTCATATTCTCCAATGCTTATTTCCTTTTATGTTTACTTCCGCGACTCTGTCTCGCCGTTAAGTCTAAACCGGGACGTTAATATGACCACTAACGTCTCGATGCTCCACGCACCATAGCAGCAGCCACTAAGCAGACACTGCTGGGCTGGCGATGCACTGCCTGTACCGTTACTGCACACACCGGATGGAGCGCGTTGTCGTCGTTGATTGGTCCGGAGGAGCGTGCAGTACGGACCAATGACAGCGAGGGGATGGGAGGCGAGAGGAGGGCAGAAGAGTGTTGTTGTGCTCCCCCCTACTCCCCTCTCACTCCTCCATTCATCCTTAACAGTACATCTGCTGCAAGGAGAGCCGGGGTTCGGAGCCCTGCAGGGGTCCCTCAGGAAAATAAAGAGTTTAATGTCACTGTTATTTCACACCATACTGTATTTGCGCTGTGAGACCATACACAATTGATGGTGGTTTTGATTTAGCTTGCACTCTCTTTCTGATGTATCGGCCCGGCAGCTGCTTAATTCGAGTCAGATGTGATTGCCCCAAGTTTGTCAACTGATTTGCAACCCGAAAAGTAAATGTAAAATGTGTTGTGTATCTGACATTTTCGCATGTGTTTATTGAAAGTGCATATTCTTGTGTAGAACTACGGTAATATATATTTTTTTCATCTGTGAGTTGGGTTTGCAGTATTTAATGACCACTACGTGTACAAATATAATTAATATAGTAAAAAAATATCCCAAAAACTAGCTGCTTTTTCACATTTGTACCATGTTGCATTCACAAAATGATCGTTTATTTATGGGATTATTTACAGTATTTATAGTCCATAGTAAGTCGTGGATGGGCTACATGTCTGCTCATTTAAAGCAGTGAAATCAAATTTAAATAACGAGAGCCTTAGATTAATCTTTCCTGTGTTTAGAAGTATAAATAAAATTTTAGCCCATGTAACTTTATTTTTTTTTTGTGCGTATCCACTGCCCATGTGTTATCCGTTCACTGTGTTTTGATGTATTTCGTTTTAAATCCACACTGGTTTGGGAATTTGCTTCAATAAAGTGATGTGTTTGCACTCGGGGGATTCATTAACAACTCCTTCTGTGGCGTTTTGATTTGTTTTGCCATGTAGATACTTTCTCCAAAAAAGACAAGGACACAATGTGTTCACTGCTTGCCATTTAAAAAAGTGCGTAAATCAGTTGATTAAAAACAGGTAAAATTAGATGACTCGCTTCCTCACTGCATTTTGTATCTTAATTATTTTTTATCAGCGATCATTTTTGCATATCATTGATTGAAAAAAAGTTATATTCTTGCATAGATTATTTAATTAAATGTTGCTTAATTGGCATGCACGCAAAGAAGAGCTTGCATAGTCATAGCAGAGGCCCGCTTCTGGCAGAAACTTCAAGAAGTGTATAAAAGGTTAACTTTGTCATTTCCGGAATAAAAGCACACAGGTTCTTCGTTCTCTGGTTGTGTCACAGCACATATGGGTTCACTTCTTTTTGTACAAACACTTCTCTGTGTGACCATGCAGACTGACAGAGACGAGGACACATTTGAGCTCAGTGAGTATTGATGAAAAACATAAAAGAGACAGTTTTGTGCTTGTTTTTTTTTATTTATCTATTATGTGAAAAAGTGACAAAGTTGGAAAAATGTGTGGCTTTAAATATAAAAGTTTGTAAAAATATGTGTATTCAAACATACAGTACAGTACATGAACAGCTTAGGCCTCCCCTGCTCCCGGCCTTGTTACAGTCTATTCTGTGACAGGAGCACAGACTCTTGTTAAGAACAGATTTATAAGGATGACTGGGGTTTTCATAATTCATGTCTCTGCGGCTCTTTGGATGAAGTCAACAGTTTTCTGCGGCATTGTAGGTTATTGCACGATTCTGTATTAACAGGGTGAATTTATGTTATTAATAAACAGTTTGATCAGTCTTCAGCAGTCTTTACACCAAGCCGGTCATCTGTGATCTTAACATGCTCATGGAGTGAGCAAACGAGGACAGAGGGTAGTTGATGGAGCTGGAGAAGCCCGCGACGGGTGGAGAAAGTGGATGTCCGTTCAGGTTGAAACCCACTGCTGCAGTGGGTGTGGGTCCCTCGTGATACAGAATGGGGACCCTGACAATCCGCTGGGTCGAGTGTGGGATATGTGCAGCCTCGAGGTCCGCCGCCAGCTGTCTCTTCCATTTATTCCTCCGGTTCTGGAACCAGATTTTGACCTGAGTCTCTGTCAGGTGGAGGGACGCTGCCAGCCCCGCTCTCTCTGAGCTGCTCAGGTAGCGTTTCACGTCGAAGGTGGACTCCAGCTGGAACACCTGACTGCGGCTGAACACTGTACGCGTCTTCTTCTTCCGGGTGGAGCTCGGGTCCGAGGACGCGTCGTGCTCTGACCGTGCGTCAAAGCCGTTGTGCGCGTCCTCGTTGTCGTCTGTCAGGTTGCTATCGCCTGTTTTCCTGTCGGTTTCGTCGCTGTCCTCCGTTATCGGTTCAGATACGGCAGGAGAGCATCTATCACTCGTCGATATGGAGCAGCAGTGGTCGTCTGAGCTTGTATTATCTCTTGGACCTGACAGGAGAAAAACACAAGAACATGACTGGTTTTAAAATGGATTAATTTCACAGCCAGGCCTGAAAACAAATAAAAACGTTTCCCATTTACTTCAATGCTTCGAAGCATAAAAAGGTGGACCATAAGAAAATGATTAAAACAAGCTGGGATATATAGAATGGGGCCTGCCTGACATATATTCGAATTTTAAAATAAACTTTTTTTTTTATTCATCCGTTACTGACAGTTGGGGTGCGCATGGGCAAAGCTTAGCTGTTTTGATTGGATTGCACGACACACGATCCATGGGAGGAAGTCGTGTCACGGCTGACTGTGATACAGATAAGAGTATAATAAATGGATAAGTCTGCCAAAAGAAACTCAAGATCTTTGCAGTTAATGATAATATCCAATAAATAACCGATTCATGGACATTGGCGTTGACCAGGCGCTTACATCACTTGTGAACACAGTGCTGGTGGGGATAAAAGTTTTAAAATCAAAGTATCTGACTCTACACTCTAAAGGGAGGGGCACTTTGTGTTGATGAGAGGGCGCGTTTGAGTGGCACAAATGACACTGAATGTGCGTAAAAACGTCACGTTGACGTGCAGTGCTACTGCGCCTCTGTTTTGGGTTGTATTGTGGGTACTTGTGCGTAATCCACGTGCGTAATCTTAAAACCGAGATATCTTGATGATAAGCAACCATAATATATCCCCCGGTTTTGTACAGTAGGGAGTTACGCTTTTGTGACCACACATGAAAAATATGTTTTAAAGATCGATGCAATGCCTGTGTGCCTTCAAGGATTTCCTGTTTGTTGGCACACGCTACAAAACAAATGCACGGTAGCCTTTGAATTAGTTTGGGAAGCTCGGTGAGCTCAGGGTGTGTGAACGGAGAGAAGAGACACGGCTACAGCAGTCTAGGATCCAAACTCGACTCGCCCAGACTTTGTTGGTTTTATTTAATGAAGCGAGAAGCGACACACTCGTTCCAGACTGGCTTTCATCAACTCCATATGGTCATAATAAAGCCAACTCCACACATTTACACCAATAAATAAACGACCTGACAGCGTAAATAATGTCACCAAAGAAACAGTAATGTGTGGTTGTAAATAAAAGCCGCATGAATATGACCTAGACCTGCAGACCGTGGAGTACGCACTGTTTTTCTTTTTTTTTTTAATTCAAGACTGCTGTCATAACATGGTTTTGTTGTCCCGTGAATTTCAGTTAATTTTTGTATAATTTATTATATGCCAGTAGTCCGCTAATAAAAAATAATGGTAAGCTGCATGCACCAGTACAGTTCCAGCAATAGATGCAACGAACTCTTTGCGTTTTGTGTATTGTGTTGCACATTGGCTGAGATGGCTTATCTTTTGCATGACGTTATTTTGTGCGAATGTGAAATTATCATCTATGTGCAGGACGCATAAAGTGACTGTACTCACTCTGTGGTGTTTCCAAAGCTCTGAAGTTTAAGGCAGTCTCCCCGCGGTACCACTGCGACGGCGAGTCTCTGTACGGGGACCGAGCTGTGGAGCTGCAGCCATCTGGCACCGGAGTGCTTGCGTCGGCGTGATGTGCGTTCAGGACTCGGCCGGTGGAGACTGTCTCCACGCCAGCTTCCCCACGGCTCCTGTCCGACACCGACTCCTGTCCACTCCGCCCCTTGCCCAGTAGGTTCTCGATAAAAAACGACGACGCCCTCGATGAAGTGGCAGCCTGGTTGTCCATTAGCTTATCCGTCATGTTTTACCGATTTTACGGCGCTTTTACGCAAAACCGAGCGGATCCTGTGTCGTGTGTGTGTTAAGGCAACCCAAATTCCAAGCAGTCATTTCAAGCGTCGCTGCTTTTGCGCCGTGATCGGATGAGGAGTCATGGCAGAGACGGGACGGGGATACCCTCGGTGCCAGTGGGAAGAGAGGGAGACAGGGAGACGGAAGCAGTAGTACAGTGAAACGTCAAGTCAAACGCTCAACGAACCGAGGGCATCCAGCGATTGGACGAGCACAATAGCAAATGGGGTTTTCTAAGGAAATGAGAACCGCTGTCTCTCTGCGTCAGCCACGGCTGCTCTGTATGTGTGTGTTTGAGTGTGTGTGTTCACGTGCAGGCCCGTCCCCTCGAGGCCATGTAGCCAGGAGAAAACCTCTGTTCGTGGCACAGCACTCTTTATTTGGGTCAATTAGAGTGCAAATCAAAATAAAGATCCGCCAGGGCAGCAGCCATCCCCGGGGTCGCCAACCCCCCACCCCCACCCGGCCGGTCCACTCTGACATAGGAAGGCTTATAGTCAGCTATTAACTGGCAGGGAACGACATGTGGAGCCTGTCAATTTTAAGGGTGTGTGTGTGTGTGTGTGTGTGTGTGCGCGCGCGCCGATGCAGCCCTATTTATACCCTTACACCTTAATAGGAATGCAGCATTTATCATTTTAGAGTCCTCTAAGATGTTGTACAAAGCTTGGATAACCTTTGACAGCATCAGATGTTCAGTTTCAGTTTTCAGTATATGTAAGTAGGCCAGTATGGCCATATTTCAGTGGTGGTTCAAGCACAGTTGCTCAGAGTTATGGTTTTTGAAAGCATGTGCGTACTGGACCACGCATGGCTTGGCAATGGCACGTGAAACGCTGCGTCTTGGAGATGCGGCTGCTGTCAAAGGTTATCCAAACTTTGCGTAATGGCTCAGATATTCTTGATAATAGGCCTGTTTGTCTGTAGCCGAGCGCTGCATGGTTTAATCATGTATAACTACACATTTCCTGCTTAATCTGAAGATGTAGAGTTGATAGGTAAAATTAGTGTTGTGGCCATCGTGTAGCTGTTTCAGCGCAGGGTTGCCTTAGTCTTATTTGGTATATTTTCTGCTTTATAGCGTCGTGATGTAGTAGGCCTATGCAGTGGAAAAAATGAGACTGTATTCAGAAATAGCTACTGGTGCAGAAACAGCTGTGACCAGATGTTTGATCTGTTATTTTGACTTAAAAAAAATAAATA